ATCAAATTGTCACCGATTAACCAGTCATGGTAGTTATGGTATCTGTCCCTGTACGCGACTGGCAGAAAATATAACACGCAGAGGAATAAGGGAATGAGGATAAGAACATACAGTTGTTTGCGAACTGTAATTCTCATCGTTTTTAATATAAATTATATCGGTGTATTTTTGTATTTGTGCGTCGCCATAAAAAACAGTTTCTTATCAAATGAGATTTTCATATCAAGTAATATGCTACGTACGTACGTACGTACAATAATAGCTTAAATTCAGCCGAGCCATGCTTAAGCCATAGTTCGAGTAGTTGTGCCATAATCAAGCCATAATTAAGCTACAGATTAAGCCACCAAGCATGGCTTAGCCATGGCTTAAGATGAATAAAGAAATAGAACTATGACCTTTAACGCTAAGATGTTTTTGATTTTTGTCTAGAGCCATACTTAAGCGATGGCTAGAACCAGTGTAGTACACGAACAATTTGCGACGTTCAGTACAATTAAACGTTAAGCTGACTCCTTAGTAAAGTTGATACGTAACATTCCAGTTTTAAAAAAAATTGCAAATAACTCAAAATTTTATTAGGACAACCTTTTTAGCTCTTAAAATGTTAAAAATTAATTTTACTATTATTATCATTTATAATATAGCTTTTCAAGCTAAAAATTGAAAAATTTAAATAAATCCAGATACATAAAACTACTATTATACGCGAAAGTCTCGATGAAAAAGTACTCAGTGATGTGTATCGTATATAAGATCCAGGTCTGCTAAATTACACCTATACTTGTCGCCTAAATCCCAAACTTAGTTTGCCACACCCACATCGATAAATTAATCTCCCAAAAACTTTATTAATAATAATCTAAACAAATTAAATATATTCTTATATGGAATATATTTAATTTCAACCCATTTTTTCATTTTTTATAAATAGCAATTGTTTTTTTGAGGTTTGAGATTTGTTCTGATTTTGGCGGCAAGTATAGTTGCACCGATAATAGATCCAGGGTATAACGATAGTAGAGTGTTTATATTATAACGAGAAGAATTTCAAAGTGCATACACACTTTGTACTTATAATAAGTGTAGGTTTTTGAAAATTTCATATTTAATTAACAGAGATCTCGTGGTTCGTACGTAAGGTGGGTCTACTGTACTATTGAAGCTTGTATACGATCTTTCTCGAGTCATGTTCTCTGGAGGATTATATAGTCTAGTACAAGGTCAACTCTTTCTAAGTGCAGCACTGCTGGACCTAGAAAAATTTGCTACTGTATTAAAAAATTAAAAACCTGCTCTCAAAGAAAATCTGCATTTAGAAAAAGCAAATTTATATTTTTTATATTGGAAAAAATCGTCTGCAAATTAAAGAACATTTTATTAAAATCTGCACTCAAAGAAACTGCATTTAGAGTATATTTTATTAGAGCCCATTTTGCAAATTTAAAAGATTAGCAATAATGTATATTTCAAGAAGCAAGCCTTAACGTTAAAAAGGCAGATCAAGAAAAATCATAATTATTTATTGTATAGTAATTTTGCTAGAACTTTGGTCAGCACCGCCGCGAGGAATCTTCAAAATGAAAAATTACATTAAGAGAACATTAAGAGAATGTTATCTATTAATAAAAAAAACAACGTACTTTAATTTCAAGCAATCCATTTTGAAATTTTGCTTCAACATTATCGCGTTTTGAAGCGCAGTCGCGAGGCAAGAAGACAACTTTACGGAATTTTCCGACTCTACGTTCACGCACACGAGAAGTTGCAGCTTCATAAGCAGGTTTGCGTTTGGATTCTCCTTGGATAACTAATTCTACATTACGAAGATCAATCGAGATATCTTCTTTTGGTACGCCCTGATATATATTTATATTCGTGTGAATGATTTACTAAACTTTTTTTTTCCTAAAAAGAAATAGTTTTGACTTACAGGTAAATCAACGTGAATGATAAAAGCGTCGTTCGTGTCATATATATCTGTAGCAGGTCTCACAAAAGTAAAAAATTAAAGTTGTATAATATTCTCGTGCTAAGTTTTATTTCATCAGGCATGAACTGGGATAATATTATTATTGTAATTATTAAGATACCTCCAAACGACGTCACCCATTTTATTAACCTTAATACGACTTCCAAAATTTCGTGATTGATCAGAAATAGGTGAATTGCGGAAACGAGGTGCAGTTTCCAAGGTACGGGAAGTAGGTTGATCCCAGGTGGATGTTTCTGGACCAATTGAAAACGTATTCCATGAAGTATCTGGAGTCCAATCGAAAGTACTGGTACGTGGAGAACTAATTCCAGAATCAAAGTACGGATCGTAAAAAGGAGAAAAAGGATCGTTAAAGAGAGACATCCCTAAAAATTCTTGAGAATCAAGAAAAGAATAGATCTCCCTTTATAATATAATTCTAGCGTAATTTATGTAATAATTTTTTTATTTTATTGCCACGACAGGCTAAGGTCATTTTATCGTAATGGTTTGTTACGTAACTTTCGAGAAATACTATGACATCATATTCATCTATGAATTTCCATATGAAACAAGCACGATATTTGTAAATAAGATAAAATTTGAGTCATTTTCGTTATATGGAGGTACGTTTTTGTTCTAAGTTGTTAAGAATGGAATCTTCCAATCATTTTATCAGATTTCCAAAGTTTCTGAAAAGAGTTAGTTGATTGATTATAACTGGTTTGTCATAACAAACAGTGTGTGAAATTCAAATTTAAATTTTATGTTCTCAAAAGAGCATCTATCGCTATATAATAAATTCAGAGAACATTTTGAGAACATTGAATTTCGCACATTGGTGGCAAAAGAGAATAAACATGCGTAATAGTAAATTGGTGTGTGAAAATGAAACAATGTATAAAACTTCCAAACAAAAAGTCCAACGAAATCATATAAACACTAAACTATAATTGTTGGAAATAATAAGTGTCGCGGCTGATGCTGGAAACGGCTGAAGCGGGAAATCAGGGACTCTGATTTAAAAATATAAACCCT